TTGTTGTGGAACTTTTGTCAGCAGACCTTAAGTTCCATCTAATCTTTGTACATGCTCATGATGAACAATCCTCGCAGACACTGAACCTCAGACGGTGAAGGAAGGTACAGCATACAGAAAGACCTCCAGTGGCCTTGAGTTTGTGGGATACTGCAGACTTTAACACACGAGAGGATCTGCTGGCACCGTTGCCCAGGCATGCACAGCAAGAGGACTTGAATCTCATTGATGAACGAGAGTTAACATCTGAAAAGTTAAGTGGCCTTACTAGAAACAGAGTTGCAGCCATGACTTGCAGAAAGTGTTAACTGTGTCTGTCAAGAACTAAGTTATCTGTCTTGACTCGTCATTATACCTGCTCAAGTCTCCATGTGCAGTCGGTGCAGCTCAACGTGATGTCAACAGGAGTGTTACGCACACACTTTGCCAAAAGCAGAGGCCTAAGAGCTGCCAGTTTAAGGAGTTGCTGCGTATCTCTGAGTACGGTGATCTTGTTTATCACTGTGAAGCGGTGGTTGAGTTGCGGGGAACGCACTGAGGGGTTCTAAGGGAAAGCTTGTCAAGGGATTCAACGATCTCAAGTGGCTGTGTGATCTGGCACTCGAGGGTCATGATCCAGCACCTCTCAGGGCGGAACGTCTGGCGGCAGACCCCACACAGCTTCTCGGCTCCCTTCTTTCAAATATGGAGTCATCCAAAGCTACATTATGGGCAGCGTAACCCAGAAGGAATATCAAGAAGCCTTTTCTCACCCTGGAAGGACAAAAGCCTTCCATTAGCTTGAACATGCTGCTGACTGTGTGGAAGTAACAGGCATCTCATGTTCAGGGAATGAAACGTGAACAAATGGGACTGAACATCTTCTGCTACACCATTCAATGTGGAATTAACTGAGGTACCTGACAGCTTAAAACACAAAATCATTCAGCTGCAAAGTTGACGAGCTGAAAGCTCAGTATAACCACCTCCCTCTGCCTGGATTTTATAAATGTGACATAAGCAATGATGCGTTCCCACTCAGAGGAAATAAGCATCAGTGCTCCAAACAACTTATTGCTGTGCAGTTATCTTCAAATTTACCATCCAGAGAGCTGATTGCACTCCAGATGATCTCAAACCTGATTGGGAAAGCAATCTCAAGTAGCAACATCAACACGAGCTCACATCACACGCCTCACCAAAGGGAGGCCATTCCAGACTCCACATTGGAGAGGAGTTTACTGTCAGATCAGACATAGCTAGCCAAGTTCTTCAGCTGATGACTCTGGCTAGCAAATGTCTTACACATACACAATCTGAATGTCCTTGGCATATCAAGTTCCCCACCCTGATTTACAGAAACATTTTGTTACATGTTGCATAATGAAGTCTTCTGAAAGTCCTCTGCAAACAAATTGTTCAACTTCATAAAACCCAACTTCAAATTATCTCTACTTTTGAAAAGAAATGTTATGCATCCATGTGGTAAACCTGGAAGCAGGATCAGGCAACTAGCTTTAGCTTGGTTCAGCCCTACCCACTGAGGCCATTTAGAGCAGCTGGGACATGAACCAGCACACATATGGGATCCCAGCATGTCCAAGGTGAGGATTTAGCCACTAGGGTATTGCGCCAGGCCTAGATAAAAAGATAAATGTTAAGCAGAAAAAAAGAGAAAGTGGAACCTTCATACACCACTGACAATAGAAAGCCTGCCAGTTCATCAAACAACTGAAGTTACCATGTGACCCAGCAACTCTACTTCCTTTTTTATCGCCCAGGAAACTTAAAAATAAAACTATCTTAGCACCAAAGGCTAAAGCTGCCATGAACTGCATTGTATCTCCCAGCACTTACATATGGAGCTCTAACCCCCTTTATGATTATATCTGGAAATTGGGAAAGGGGTTAATTAAGGTTAAAAGAAACCACAATATTGGGATTCTATTCCCCATGGGGTTTGTGGCTTTATAAGGTCATTCCCCAAATTGCCACACCATCCTGAAGCCATGACCCTGGAACTCCTGGCTCCCACAAGAGTGGATGAAGACTCCACGTATTTGAGTCACAGTACGCTTTCCAAAGTGAATTTGCAGGGACTGGGATTGAAGCAGAACAGGAGGACTCCAACTGATTCTGTCATTGGATGCCAACTCCACAGGCAGCAGTTTAACCTGATATGCTACATCTGTCTCTTGTTCTGTACAACTGTTGTTGGGGCCTGGTGCGATAGGTCAATGGCTAAATCCTTGTCTTGTAACTGCCAGGATGGCATATGGGCACTAGTTCATATCCTTTCTGCTCTATTTCCCATCCAGCCCCTGCTCGTGGCCTGGGAAAGCAGCAAGGGTGGCCCAAAGTCTTGGGACCCTGCTGCAGGACAGGGGATCTGGATCAGCTCAGCTCTAGCCAATTGTGGGTACCTGGAAAGTAATCCAGTGGATGGAATATCCTTCTCTTTGTAAAATCTCTCTTCTCTGTAAAATCTACTTTTCAATATAAATGGTAAAAAACAAAACTTGTTAAATGTCCCATTTCCTTTATAGCTTGGGTTTACTGTCACACTCAGGTCTTTCCCACTTAAATTACTTTTAGTTTCTTATGGGGTTTTAATTTGTTCTCCAACCCAAATTCTATTCTGTGGAAGGCAAAAGCCATACTTTTCCCATTTGGTCTTGCATTATGTATTACTTATGTAGTGATTTTTCCTCATCAATTTCAAAACCTACATTCATATTCTATTGATGTATATTGTGTTAGGGCCTTGAACTTGGCATTCTACTATGGTAGACCCAGACACTTGCTCTAAAGCTTGGTCAGGAGAGCCATCCAAGTTGCTCCACTTTCCATTCTCTGACAAGGCACTTTATCTCCTCTGCTGGTCTAGATGAGTTGTTGCCATGTCCTCCACGCCTTCCACTGTCTGGGCATCACGCCCAGACGAGAAACATACTCCAAAGTTGGAAAACTATCTTGTTTTTCCCTGTGGCCAAGGTTCAAGTCCAGCAGTCTAGTTGGAGAGTCCTTCAAGAAACCTCACCTGGGATGAACTCAGACCTTGCTCTTGCATGTACCAGCTTGTGAAGGTCAGGTTCCGTCCATCATCTACATCATACAATGCCCATACCAGCAGGATCCTTGGCCCGTTCAGGGGCCTCCACCAGCCCGTTTCTGTATATGCTGGCAAGTTCTGCAGCCTAATGAGTCTATCCCATATCCCACTCAGCTCTCATACACACCCTGGTGGTACCATGCCTTAGCTCAGCCCAGCCCACCCCCACTTCTGGCACACACATATGCCCACAAGTGCTGCTCCTTTGTCCAAGCTGGTTCTCATCCACCAGTAGCCTAGCAGGGGAGTGCCCACAGTTCACATACCAGACCTGTCCCCAGACCACTCTCTGGATTTTGCACTTGCCAGGGAATGCTGCAGTAAAGTCCAGCTTAGCTGCCTAGTGGACACAGCAGCACAGCGCAGCCTGGCCCTCCCCCAGACCCATCTAGCATGAAGGCTGAGGTGTTTTGCAGTTCTGCCTGGCCTGATTCGCCTCCAGTCCAGGTTCTCATGCTCAGCTGTGGAAGCAGCAGTCCAGCAGGGAGTCCCTGAAGCTACCCTCCCAGGCTCGCACTAAGCTCGGGTTTCCAGGCGCCCCAGATGTTTGGGGATCAAACCACTTGATGGGAGCTCTGGTCAAAGCATATATATGACACTTAATGTGGTCAAAGCAGATTACTAAATGGAAGTAGAATAGCAGGTCACTGAGGCATGTTTGTGAGTCTCTCACCCACCCTAAATACATTTCATTATGCTCCTAATGAATTGGCTGAGATTCTTAATTCCTCCTCATGCTAATACAGACTACCTGCTACCTTCAGAATAGTGGTTACTTCTAAAGTAGAAGGGTGGCAAACCAGAGTTGACTTTCGTAGCAGGGGACATTGATAAAATGAAACACCCAGGGAAGTTGGACACAAAAGTCTGCTGCTTCTGTGAACTGCTTAGAGTTAACCATAAGCAGGCACAGAAACACTGACCCAAACATTTCCTGAGCATCGTAAATTTTATCTCAAAAGAACTGATTTGGGCCTATGATTTTGGCAAGCTCCTAAAATGTGCTTCACAACTGTTTGCTCAATATATTAGTGGACAGAAGCTCTCACTCTGTTAACACTGTCTTTTAAATACATAAATAAATCACCAAAAAAAAAAAAAGTGACAACAGAGGCCAGATCATTTAAACACAATCATATAAGATCTGGTTGTCCACTTGCAAATAGTAATAAAAAATTAAAAACAGCCAGAACGCTCTTAGCTCAGGCCTATACCTCAGAGCATTCAGGTCGCATGCTCAGCACAGTGAACTCTGAGCTCTGCTTCCACAGGCTTTCAGTGCTCTTGAGAAATAGAGATTTCAGCAGTGGGATTTTACAAACCTTGGGAAATAAAAAGCTACATGGAGTATAGAAGAGGGAAAAATGCACCTTTAGCTTTTGTCATTGTGTGTGAATACTGTGACACCATAGTACTCAGACCACAAGAAAGCAGAGGTGCGGGCACACTTGGAATACTTGTTCCCATGACTCCGGGAGTGCCCACTCTCCTGTCACCCATCCTTGTAGGGCTGAGTCAGGCTTCACCTTTTGCTGACTCCATCTGTCAGTCCATCCTTTGGTGGATACTTACTTCCCAATCTGGTGTTTGGTGAGGGTGGCAAGAAAGACCTGAGCTCACCACGCATGCAAGTTTCTTTGCCTGATTACAGATTTTTCCTTTCATTTGAACATTTCCACACCCAATTTTTAGTGGTCCATGTTTCAGTGCAAGGATAATTCCTGTAACTCGTTTGCTCAGCTTGCATTAATTCCATAGACATGTTCACTGATACTGACCAGCTAAGCTATAAGGTAAAGTGGTTAATTGTTGTTCCTGAAGCAACAATCTTTCAAGCTCTAATTACTATCTTTGATGTCACTATCTCCTAAAATAAGATTTCATGTTATAACAAACAGGCCACAGACAATCCAAGTACAATTTTTTAATAAAGGTAATTATAAAAGATGGAAAAATTAGCTCAGAAAGGCCAATGACTTCTTTAATAGATCATGTTGACATAATAACACATCAGTTTTAAATACTATCACATAGAGCATGGTGGGGAAAAGAAATTCTGCTTCATAATTAGAAAAATTCACAATAAAACTTGCCAAGAACAAAAACAAAAAAAGCTATTTTGAAAATAAATACAGTCCATGCTAAAGTAGTATAAAATGGAGCCAGAAGTCCTCAAAAAGAAAACAATTTTCCTCCCAATATTTTCTCACTTTTTAAATGGTTTCTTGAAGTAAATGAGACTTTCAAATTCAAGGGTTGTTGAGCTGTTCCGACTTGGCTCTGTTAAGAGGCAAGGTGAATATTAAAAATGGCACAATCTTGATTTGAATGCACTGCCCAATAATACTGATTCAGTCCTGTAGGTTTGCTTGCCAAGAAACACACTCATTAACAAAACTTTAGTTATTTTGAGATTAACCACTGCTATAATCTCATCAGTAGTTTATAATCTATCTCAAGCTGTCCTGCAAAATTTGCAGAAATTATGTGTGACCACATATGTACACGCTTTTTTACAGTAAAATCCTGAATTATATTTTTACTCAGAACTTATTAGTTCAATGTTTGTTTATCTATTGCATAACACTAAAAGATTAAATACAGAAATAAAAGCACCATGAAAACCATGAGTGCACATGTAAAAGTGAAAGTTTCAAACTGATTTCTATTTAGTTACACAAATAATTCTCATTTTTTAATGAAAGCTACTTAACAGACAAGCAGTAAACAGAAAACATAAATCAACGGTCAGCACGGCACGGGTCTCACACACTAATACAGACGGTATCTGGAGGCTCTCACACGACTGTTAGCACATTCAGTTCAGATCTTCTTAGTACAGATACCAATAAAGACACACACTCCAAGAAAATGGATTTTTTAATAATAATAATAATAATAATAATAAATTACTTTAAGGAGTATTATTTACCCTTTGGTATCTGCCTTTTCAACACTGCTGTCCTTTGCTTTATCTTCCTCCTTAACATCTAAAACAAAGATTAGGAGAAGATTAAAACCCACTTTAAAATGTAATTCAAGAAGCAAGTTTTGTTTTAGATATTACACTAAGTGACAGAATCTAAGCCTCGCTCTAAGCGCCCTTTGGCACCTTTGGTTCTCTTAGAATGCAGCACCGTGACATGTCCTGAGTAGTGAATACATTTTTGGTGAATTAAACGGGAGAAATAAATCATTCTGAGTAGAGGAAAAGGAAATATCCAAACTTAAAAGGATTTTTAGGCAAGAACAAATTGGCAGGCCAGAGGGGAAACTCTTGCCATGGCTGAAGCCATATGAGAACAAGTACACTGAACCAGCTGAGTTCTAATGCCGGCACCCCTGGGCTTTGTTTCATTTCATTGTGCCTTTTTGTTTGTTTTACTATTAAAGACTTACTTATTTATTTTAAAGACAGAGAGGGGGGTGGGGGTGGGGGAAGGAGACAGGGACAGAGAGACAGAAAGATACTCCATCTGCTGATAAAATGTCCCCACCAGCTATGTCTGGGCCAGGAACCAGGAACTCTCCTCTCCAGGCATGCCAGGGATTCAAGCACTGTGGAAGAGCCATATGCTCCCTGACCACTCAGAAGGAGTGTTAACTTCCCAGAAGGAAGGTGAAGGGCAGGCACTCAGATCCAGGATATAGGCATTCCAAGCAGCAGCTTAGCTTACTCAACAATGCATGTCTCCAAGGGTCTAGTCTAATCTATACACACTAAAGCTGACAGGACAATACAGATACTACCTCACTGTGGTGGCTTTGGTTCAGTTTTAATCATGTAAACCTAAACTGAAAGTATTAAAATGAAATGGGAGCAGGGAGGCCCTATGCAGTAGCCTAGTGGCTGAAGTCTTTGCACTGCATGCACTGGGATCCCATATGGGCACCAGTTTGTGTCCCAGCAGCCTCGCTTCCCATCCAGCTCCCTGCTTGTGGCCTGGGAAAGCAGTCAAGGATGGCCCAAAGCCTTGGGACCCTGCACCCGCGTGGGAGACCTGGAAGAGGCTCTGGGCTCCGGGCTTCAGATCTGCAAGGCTCCAGCCATTGTGGCTGCCTGGGGAGTGAACCTGTCTCTCCTCCCTTCTGTATACCTGATTTTCCAATAAAGACAAGACAAATCTTTGTTTTTTTTTTTTTTTTTTAAGGAAATGGGGAAGGGAAGCATTAGAAAAGGAATGGTCCCACAGATTCTGACCCACAGATAAAAAAAAAAATACAGGCTTTCTATTTTCTATACACTGAGAATTTTAAGAATTACAAGGCCTAATAACCAAATAAAGAAGCAGAGTTTTTAAATCTCAGCAAATAAAGTGCTAAAAAACTAGTGTAAGATGAACTCAGATTATGCTGTTAACAATAAACCCACTTTCAGCTAAAAGAGTAATGAATGCTAAGCACCTTGGTACTTTCTCACTTGCAAGTAAGAAAAAGCAAAGACGGCGACTTTAGAAAGTCAGCGTAAGACTGACCAAGCACGTGGGCCTCTGCCCCCATGTGGGAGACCCTGAAGGTGCTCCTGGTTTCAGCCTGGGTAAAGCAGAGGAAGTCTTAGAAGGACGGAAGTCTCTCCCTCTTCCTCTGTTACTCTTGACTACTATGACTAGAATTTCAGGATGCCCGTGGGCACACAGGAGCACCTGGAAGCCATCCCGACAGCCCTCTGGAAAGCTCAACTTACAAAATGACACAAGAACTGTAGCATGTTGAGGAATGGAACTAGATGCAAACATTAGGTAGCTAAAACAGTGTCTGAGAATTTCAGCTCTCTCATGGACTAACAAATGAATGTGTAACTTGTCCTCTCTCTTAGTATACTTAACACTCTTGTAAGTAAACTACTTTAGTGTCTATCTTCAAGACAATGTAATAAAGTTTCTTACACTATAAAATCAAACGAGTAATAACTTGGAAAGATTTCAAAGATAACTAAAAGTTAAACTTTATAAGAAGGAGCGTTTACCCAGCCACCCACCCACCTCTAATATTTGTATAGTTAGCTTTAAGAGCTCATAAAAACTTTAGTGCTTCAATGTAGATCTCAATGTAAAAAAAACCCAACCCAACCAACCAACCAAACAAAAAACACCACAAAAACACATCTGCCAAAAAATAAATCTGACCTGCTTTCTTGTCCTCCGTCTCTTTTTTGTCTTCTTCCATCCTAGCTTTCTTCGCTCCTTTCTTATGATCGGCCACATTTCTACGACCTCCTTCCCCTTCATCCTCAGAATCGGAGAATTCTTCATCACAAGCTATCCGCTTGTCTGATGCTCGGACTGATATATACATAAAATTTTAACAAAAATTACAAGCTTTAAAATCATTACAGAACACTCGTATAAATGGACTAATCAGTTACCACATTTAAAAGTACAGACTTTTTAAAAGATTAGAACAAAATGAATGGTTTGTCTCAACACTGAAAAATAAGCTTTGGTTTATAAACAGCCCCAAAAGAAATTTGGAGATAAGTATTTAGGGATTTCTTTTTTTAAAAAAAAGAAAGAATTTGGCATGTGGAAATAATATATTTATACCTGAAAAGTAACCTACTTTAGAGTTGTTATGGAAAACAAAACAAAAAAACAACCAGTAGTGTCAATAATAAGAGATGTTAATCATCTGCATCATCCAAATAGAAAATCAGATTTAAGCACAAATAAGGTAGGGCTGTAAAACCAAATAGCAAGTGCATATTATTTAACCCATTCTACTTTGGGTAAATGGCATGTTTTCCTATTTATAATTGACTATATTTAGGTGGTTACTTTCTGGAAATTTTCATTCATACACATTTAGTAATATAAACTGAAACTGAACACTCAAATCAGACTGGGGGGACCAAAAAGCAAAGATCTATGCAAGATTAAAAATGGGCAAAGTAATAATGGTACTTGTTTCAGGACCAGTAAAACTTTTAAGTATCATTTTAATGATTCAGGAAAATGTACCAGAACACAGATCAAGGCATAAACTCACTAGAAATTCTCTTGTCTGGATCTTCTCCGTCTTCTTCGCCGCTGTCTTCATGGACCGCATCCTCTGGAATAGCCTGCATCTGGACACCAGGCGCATGAGGTAACATGCGCAGATTCTCAAATAAACGCTGTCTAAACACATAAGCAAAGGGAACAGGCAAAATCCAGCTTATCTGATGTTCCTCAAAGATGAAAGATAAAACATTAAGCAAAAAATTTCATCCTTTTCCTAGTTCAGATTTACTGAGCAGTGAGTTTACATGTACAAACTTCACTGCATCTTTACAATTCAGAAATCAGTATGTTTTATCCTCCATTTCAGTGACTCCTAAGCACAGTCTATGTAAAAGACAAAAAACTCGAGCCTGGTAGATTACATTCCATTAATGGAGATAAAAACTTCCTCTAAAAGACTAAGGGAATACAAAGGCACTTCACAACCCAGAAGTAAAATGGGGTCAAAAGAGAAATTTACTTTGGTGTAAAAATGTATTGAATCCAAAGATACTTTTCATGAATTTCTCACAGGCTTGGATTTCATTTTTTTTTCTTTACACTAAAATATATTGTTCTTTGAATTCCACTGTCCATGAACTTCCTGCAGTGAATAAAGCTTGGATCTACTGTCCTTGGTCCTCTAGTGAAACCCTCCCTGCTAAGACGCTGTCAAGATGAGATGGTTATAAAGCAACTCAATTTCTTACTTTATCTTTTCCATATACTCCGGAGTATTCTGGTTAGTCATGTTGGAAGGGCTAATATGCAGCTTGAAGTCTGGCCCAAAATACTCAAAGTAATCATTATATGGCAATTCTATCAAAAACAAAGACAAAAAAAATACATATGAAGTGCTCAGTACCCACCCAAATTCATGTACAAAATCAGACGTCATATTTCCAAAGAAAAGGTTTTAAGCAAAGTATGAAGTAATTATCTTTTAAATCACACAAGGACCCATCCACTTCTAAACAGCAGCAGCCCATGCACCCCAGGTCACACAGGAAGGACACTCACCGTTAGGGATCTCACAGTCCAAAGCAACCGCAGTCTCATAGGTCCAGCAGCGAGCCACATTGCGGATGGTGTACCCTCCTCCCCCAAGCATCAGTAACGGCAGGTTAAAAGTCTTAACAACTTCTACACATTTAGCATGACCTAAAACAGAGAAAATTTGGGTTAACAGTAAAATCTGCATACTAGCAAGTTTGCAAAGTGAAATTCTCAAAGCTAATAAATTCAAAATTTTACTCTGCCAAATTAGGTTTTCTAGACATTTGGGAAACAAAAATTCAATAAACCTTTAGACCAGAACATCATTAGTTATGTCTTACATGCATCATTTTAGCAAATATTTGATAAAAAAAATAAATTATGCAACTACTAAGATTAAAATATTATCAGAAGATGTTCACATGAGTTTACATGGAAAAAAATTTGGTTGAATGAAATATTCAATACACACACAATACATTCTTATCATTTTCACTTAAAGGCAAGGCATATACAGAATAACTACAGATTATACAAAGTTAAAGGCTAGGTTATCTTTGAATGATTGTATTAATGGATTATTTTATCCAAGACTATAAACCTAACCGAAAACACATATTCCCTTTGGAGCCACACCTCAGCAGTAATTTATAAATTGTGGGCAATTTTCTTGGGCTATTTATACATATAATGTAATCTTGAAAGAAAGCAAGCAAATTCCTCAATTTTAAAAGAAATTCATGCCTGTCCCCACTCCCCAAAAAAGGCAAATGTATCAAGAAAAAATTCAGCCAAACCCAGACAACACTCACTTTGAAACGTGAGTTAATAAAAATCAATTATTTGTTCTCTGTGTTTGTATTCCTGTGAGAATTCTCAATATTCAAAAATGGTTTTGCATGACTCAGTCCAACTGTTATTACTGCCACTAGAGACATGTGCTTCTTATAACAGACAAAAGTTATCTGATATTTTTAAAGAGTGAAAACATAAAAAACTGGATCAACATGATGGCTCAATTGGTTAGTCCTCTGCCTGCAAGCCCTGGCATTCCATATGGGCCCAGGTTCATGTTCTGGCTGCTCCATACCCTATCCAGCTTTCTGCTTGTGGCCTGGAAGAGTCCACAACCATGAGACCCAGCACCCAGTGGGAGACATGGAAAAGGCTCCTGGCTTTGGGTCCGCTCAGTCTCTGGCTGTTGCAGCAATGTGGGGAGGAGAAAAAAGAGAACAGATGGAAGATCTTTGTCTCTCCTTCTCTCCGTAAATCTGCCTGATAAAAATAAATGAATCTTTAAAAAACACATAAAAAATTAACTGACTTCCACGTAAGTTGCTAGCACACACCCACACATACATTTACTTTTGTTTCATCCTCAAACCTGACAAAAATAACTATAAAAGAATTTCTTAAAGGTGTTTATAAAATCCATAAAAATAAACAGAAGAGATATAGCAGCAAGAAGGTAACTGAAGACACCAAGTACGTAGATAAGACATAACTACTCAGCACATCTGAGAAATGCAAACAGCAGCAGCAGTGGAGACATTTATTAGTAAGCTGCAACTGTCCTTCTACGCTCTTCGTAACTGAAATGCTATCTGGACAGCAGAAATACAATGTTGTTTAAAAAGGCAAAAAGAAAACAAAAACAAAAACAAAAACAAAAAAACACCCAAGAACCATGACTTAAACTGAAAAACTAACAGTTCACATATATTTTAAGAGCCTCTTAGTTTTATCACTTTTAGTATCTATTTTGAGGCAAATATGCAACATAAAGTATTCAACAACATGAAACCGCTATGATACTATTGACCTACCCAAAAAGAGTACATTACTTTAGTCTGGTTCCCGAAACACTGAACTGAAGAAATCATACAATAGTTAGATTAACAAGCACATAAGTTTTGTTTTAATTTATTTGTAAGAGTGACAGACAAGACAGAGATCCTTGCTCTTACTGGTAGATTCCTCCAATACCCATACAGTTGGGGCTGAGCCACAGCCTGGAGTCAAGTCAGGTCTCAAAGTGGATAGCAGAGACCCAGGTCCATGAGTTCCATTATTCACTGTCCCCTGCCGCCTCCCAGGACATACACTAACAGGAAGCTCGAATTATAAAATGATCTGGGACCCAAACCCAGGTACTGACTCGGGATACAGATGTCCGAAGCAGTGACTTACCCACTGCACCAAACACTTGATCCCACATGGGCACCAATTTGTGTCCTGGCTGCTTCTCTTCTCATCTAGCTCCCTGTTAATGGCTCTGGGAAAGCAGCAGCAGACGGCCCAAGTGCTTGGGTCCCGTCACCCATGAGGCAGACCTGGATGAAGTTTCTGGCTCCTGGTTTTGGACTGGCTCAGCCCTGGCTGCTGTGGCCATTTGTGGAGTGAACCCTCAGATGAGATCTCTCTTCCGTAACTGACAAATAAATAAAATCTAAAGAGAATAAAGAAAAAAAGTGAAACTGACAGGTATTTGATGTAACTGAATATATGGAGATGTCAGATTTTGGGAATTTAGTAATAAGTAAAGGGAACACTAAGTGAACAAACAAAGGAAAAAAAACTTAGAAGGGAAACTGCCTAAGTGAAATGAGTTGTTAGCCTAACACGGAATACACAACCTAAACTGTTTTTTTTTTAATTATTATTATTATTTTTTTTTATTGGAAAGGCAGATACACAGAGAGGAGAGACAGAGAGGAAGATTTTCCGTCCGATGATTCACTTCCCAAGTGAGCGCAACGGGCCGATACTATGCCGATCCAAAGCCAGGAGCCTCTTCTGGGTCTCCCACGCGGGTGCAGGGTCCCAAAGCTTTGGGCCGTCCTCCACTGCTTTCCCAGGCCACAGGCAGGGAGCCGGAAGGGAAGTGGGGCTGCTGGGATAGAACCGGCACCCATATGGGATCCTGGGCGTGCAAGGCGAGGACCTTAACCACTGCGCCACCGCGCCGGGCCCGTGCTAAACTGTTTTTTTGAAAACAGAAGTACAACAAGCAGAGTGTATATTGGAGACAACAGAATCTTCTTGCACAACAGCAAATGAATATATTTCATTAAAATAAAATCTAATTGCACACAGTTCACTGCTAATGAGCAGGGAGGAACCACACTTTATTGTTAAGTCCCTGCAAAGAAAAGTCATCCACCTGGAAATGATAGCCCTATTAAAACTGCTTACCTTTGACTGTTAAATTGAAGCATCCTAGTCTGTCGCCAGATAATGAGTCGGCTCCACACTGCAATACTACAGCACTAGGTTGATACATCTCCATTACTTTTGAGATGATCTACACATAAGACAACAAATTAGTATCTCTAATAGCATGTAAAAAACCCATCTTAAAACTGATTACACAACTTACAGGTTTAAATATCTGGCCGTAAGACTCATCATCTATGCCATCTCTCATTGGAAAATTGACAGCATAGTATTTGCCTTTTCCAGCACCAATGTCCTGAAATACATAAACAGAAGGTAAGAAACACTTCACAAGAAAACCTCTGACTATTTAGCTGCCACAGTACTTTTAAGATGAACATTGTGCAGATTTTAATGAACAGAGCCATCACATGTCACCCACTAAATATGCACAAGTTTTATGTGTCAGATAAAACATTTTTTAAGTCTAAATAACAAGCCCCAGCTTTGAACCGATCTTACAGACTGAAACGGGAGCAATAGTACCATGTTCATCTTTTTACACATTGTTTTGGTAGAGAGCTGGAACAGAAGTGGAGCAACCAGGACTCAAACCAGCCCCCATACCAGTCTTATGTTTTCACTGGCTAGGCCGTAATGCCAACTCCTTGAAAAAAATGTCTTAAATTATAGTCAGCAAAAGCCTAGTGGATGACAGAATGCATGAAGTGTTACAAACTAACAATTCAGGAAAAATGCTGGTTTAAATACAGGTAATAAACCTCTTGCTAATCTCATATTCATTCAAAATGGGATTTGGTCTTACCCTCAAGTCTCCAGTCCCAGGAAAATACTCCCCGTATTTATGGAAGGACACTGTCATTACACGGTCTGTAGTATAAAAGGCTTCTTCCACACCGTCCCCATGATGAATATCTATATCAATATATAAGACCCTCTGATGATATCTGAAAATAAAACCACAAAGCAGTCTACTGAGTCTTTATATTCCAGAATGTGTAATTTCTTTCTTATTTTATGTCCAGCCTAAGAGATCACCTGAAAGTTTGAGCCTTAAATCATAAAATTTCCTCTGGGAGAAAAACTAGGAGAAAATCTATTTTCTTTGTGAAGGCTATCCTATTTTTCATGCATCAAACACATAAGCACATTTTAATATTTTAACTGAAGACCACACTACATTCATAATTGTTTATAAAAACCTCTTTAGTAAGTCTCCAATATTTTTCTTTTTATTTTAAATTAGTGGTCTGGCATTCTGTGACAGGTTATACTACTACTTGTTGACACTGGTACTGTGCTGGTTCAAGTCCTGGCTGATCTAATTCTGATCCAGCTCCCTGCCAGATGGTCCAAATACTTGGGACCCTATACCCACACTGGGGACTCTATGATGGAGATCCTCACTTCTGGCTTCATTCTGGTCTAGGCCTGTCACAGCTGTTTGGAGGAGGGAACCAAAGGACATAAAATCTCTATGTCTTTCCCTCCCTCTCTGTAATTCTGACTTTCAAAGACTCATTTATTTGAATAGCAGATATACAGATTAAATTTTTCCATCTAGCAGTTTGTTTCCACAAATGCCTGAAACTCCATTCGTGCTGGCCAGTACCCAAATAGTTGGTTCATCATCTGCTGCCTCCCAGGCACATTTGCAAGAAGCTGGGTTGGAAGCAGAGGTGGAACTTGATTTCAAGCATTCCTGCATTAGATGTGGGATTACTAAGATGAAGCTCAACATGCTAAACCCTAATACACACCCTAAGTTTTAAATTTATTTTTAAAATACTTACTTCATCGTCTCAAAAGGCAGAAATACAGAAGGGTATAGCGAGTTAAGCCACCTGAGATGCAGGTATCTCATGCTGACACTAGTTAGAATTCCAGCTGCCCCACTTCTGAGTTCCTTGCTAATGGCCTGGGAAAGCAGTAGAAGATGGCCTGAGTGCTTGGGCCCCTGAACTCACAAGGCAAACCAGGAAGCTGCCAGCTCCAGGCTCCAGTGTGGCCCAGCCCCAATCACTGCAGGCTTCTGTGGAGGGAGCCAGCAGATGAACATGCTTCTCTCTGTGTCTCTCTCTCTCTCTGTGCCATCACTGCCTTACCAAACCCATCCCTCCAACAAAGTTTAAATAAAGCGATATCCACTGGCTCATTCCCCAAAAGTGCCTCCACCAGCCAGGGTGAGGCCAAGCCTCAGTCAGAAGCCCGGAACTCCATTTAGGCATTTCACATTAGTGTAAGGGTCCAAAGCACTGAAAGCATCTCCTATTTTGTAGTATGCATTAGCAGGAATTTTAATTTTTTAAATCATAAAAAAAAGGAGTATTTCATGTTGTGACAATTATATGAAGCTCAAGTTCTAATTTCTAGTACTAGACAACATGTGGAACTCTCTCCTAGAAATCCATTCTGATGCTTAATGTACTACAAATCCCACTATGGCAGTTATGCCATGAATGTATTTGGAAGCCACCTGTACCACTGCATCTTGACATATCATTAACCATGAACATCCATGCGAAAAATCACAAAAAGGAAGACATGTACTTCAAATATCACCTTTTTAAAGTGACACATATTTTGCTATTGTATTACAAGTTAATGTATCCTGCTTACTAGGTAATATTTCATAGTTACCCTAAACTCGTAAAACATAAGCTAACATTTCCAGATTGAGTTTCCAAAATAGTACTTACTCTCAACATTCAAAAAGTAGGAAATTTACAACAGTGAATCTCATTGTCAAAGAAATTTCTTCACAGGGTTAATAAAACAAAAAGGCTGCATATTAGTTTGAATTGCTTTTTACAAAAGCAATTCAATTATGTTTACAATCAAAAGAATGTGCTAAAACTTTGCTCAAAGAATTGGATGAAACTAGAATCAACATCAATAAAAATACAGAGCAAGGGTTGCCAAAGCGACCTAACATACTAACTCTCTACCTGCTGCTTCAGCATCCCACAAGGGCACAGGTTCACGTTCTTGGCTACTGCACTTCCTATTCAGCCTGCTGCTTCTGACCCAAGAAAGCAGCAGAGGGGGGTCAAAGCCCTCAAAACCCCACACCCACATAAGAGAACCGGGCGAGGCTTGTTTTCAGACTTTAGATCAGCTCAGTTCTAGCACTGCGGCCATCTGGGAAGAAAATCAGCAGTTATAGCATCTCTTGTGTCTCTCCTCTCTTTAAATTTGCCTTTCAAATAAAAATAAATAAAACTTAAACAAAAATAGTAAATGATTTCAAATGATTTTTACACAGACATTCCTCAGTTACTATATATTTGAGGAGTCAATACCAAAACTGACTGGAAAATTAGCTTCTATGGAAAGTGTACACGAAGTTAGCTATAGGGAAGTTTTTTAACTTTGAGACTGGCAGAAAATATATCTCTGCAAATCTCCAAATCATAAGCGCCTTTAAGGTCTGAAGGCGATTTCAAATACAGAAGGATAATGCTTAAACATTCAACTAAGTAATATAGGTTTAGATTTATGTCCATTGATAAAAACAAAGCCCTGCTCGGATAAGAAAAGTAGGCAGTTAACCAGGCTCACTAAACAGGCAAACGTATTTCCCTTAATACTGTTTTCAAAATGTGCCTGCAAGTGAAAGGTTACAAAAATGCTTGTCATTTTTCACTAGTTGAAACTGCAACTCAAATCTAAACTGTCAAGCTACTTCTACTATAGTTGTGTTTGTACAATGTACACACATATATTTATATTTAGTAAAGCTTTACTTATTTCAAGTCAGCAGAATTTGAGAGAGAGAGAGAGATATCTTTCATCTAAAGGTAAACTCCTCAAATGGCCACAACTGCCAAGGCTGGACCAAGACTTTCTCCAATATGGCAGGCAGAGGCCCTGGCACTTGGGCAATCTACAGCTTTCCTACACAAGGAGCCAGAAGGAAAGAGGAGCAGCCTGGACTAGAACCAGTGAGAAGGAAAGCTGGTGCCACAGGCAGCAGTCAGCATGCAGCACCCAAACACCAGCTCCTACTATTTCTAAAAGGCAGTTTCAAGTATTTATACAGTTATATATTCATATTTAATGATCCAAGGATTGACAAATTTCCTCTATTTTCTATGTTAGTTTATAATGAATTCCAAGATCATTAGATCTATTTCAGCCAACCTACTGTTTGGTTGGTATTAAAAATGCCAGACTTACAATTTTAATAAAACATTTTACCACAGGAAAAGTAACAACACAAACAACTTACTTTAGCAATTCGAGTATGGCAAGCACAATGTCATTAACATAACAGAATCCTGACGCTTCTGACTTTTTGGCATGATGTAATCCTCCGGCCCAGTTAACAGCCATATCAGTCTGCTGTCGGTTTAACTTCACAGCTCCAGCTAAGAAAGAAATACAGCAGAATTTCTGCATACTTATAACACACTAGTATAACTGGAAAAATGCTATGTCATCAGTAAGCAAAAGCTTAAAATTTAAAACCACAAGGATCACTATTTAGAGCAGTAACAGTTTCTTCTTCAGACAAATTACTTCCTGATAGTTGATAACTGATTAAACAATAATATCAATGGAATGAGAATTAACACTGGTAGCTAACAAAGAGGGAAGTCTTCAAGTGAAAAGGTAAGTAAAAGTACATGCACATATACACTCTACTATCATATATGACACAGCAAACACAGCTGAAGTTCACTATGAACACACTGACTATCTGTTAACTTCTGCCTTAAATAAAAACCAAAATACCACGCTCAGACAAACACTAAAACTGATCTATTGAGGGCACTTACCAACTGAGCCACCAGTTGAGAGCTGACAAAACTCAAAGAGTCCATCAAACACGGGGCAATCTTCTCCAACATTAACTGTGGATAATTTATTGCATTAATTTCAACCCATTCTACAAAGAATGAAAACTTTTTCTCACAAAAACTATTTCCCACAAATGATTTTCAATACAACCATATAACATAACAATATCCATCTATGACTTACAACTTGAATCCTATCTATACATTACAGCATAATCAATAGTTAAACCAAAGGAGATATCTGTGTATATGCTAGGAATTTGTGAGATGTCGATTCGTGGTGCAGTATAATCACCACACAAGTTCAATAAACACAAATGAAAATGAACTCCAGTAACAAGCTTAAAAAATATATACACTTAACACTGTTCCAAATATTTTAGGATGACACTTCATATTCTATCTTTAATCCAATTATGATCTTTAATTATATATTATTTTTAAACTACAAAAGAGATCAAAAGCTTCACTAAAATTCTAATAAGAAGAAAAGCAGGATATATACATTATAGTCCAGGTTAACCAAAGCACACAAATAGAAGAAAAGCGTTATTTCTTAGGATTGGGATAATGAAGCATAATTTTCATTTCTGAAACAAGGAAGTGAGGTCTCCCTGCTGATATCCACGTTATCTCAAATGACCAGAGTAAGAAACAGAGTAGACAGAAGACCACCCAAATAGCAGTTTCACAGATTAATAAGATTCACATGGGTTCATAACCTTACGCAGCTTCTGCACTGTTAAATCCATCAAAAAATAATAGATAATACTATCAGGTTCTAAAAATACTAATGTATACAGCTCAATACTAAAATATCCTTTTAAAACTGAAACATAGGCCTAGCGCAGTAACAGGTGGCTAAAGTCTTTGCCTCGCATAGGCCAGGATCCCATATGGGTTCTAAGCCCTGTGGCCCTGCTTCCCATCCAGCTCCCTGGGAAAGCAGTCAAGGATGGCCCAAAGCCTTGGGATTCTACACTAGCATGGGAGACCTGGAAGAGACTCCTGGCATCAGCTTGGCTCAGCTAAAACCATTTGCAGCCACTTAGGGAGTAAATCAATGGATGGAAGATCTTCCTCTGTTTCTCCTCCTCTCTGACTTTCTAATAAAAAATAAACGAAAAACCTCAATGACGCAGGCATTATTAAAAAAAAATACTGAAACGTACATCTCTGCATCTGCTTACTATACTCCGACATGTTGTCTGGTCTTATGGACCGCAGAAACTTGATGTACTCATCACTGTGGTATTTTGTCATTTCTTCAGCTGTGGCTTTGTGGGGCCTCTGTAAGAAACAATAAACATCAGAATTTAAAAATCACAACTGGTTTTATATTAGGGTTATGAATGAAAATGTGTAATTCTCTCTCACAGTGTTGTCAACAGAACTAGGCTGACAGAACAAATTCCAAAAGTACTCCAAATGTACACACATGTGTTAAGAAAACAGAATCACTTAAAACTAGTCAACTTTCTTCAAAAGCACAGGTATTGAACAGGCATAATACCAACTATGAATTAGTCATTCTTCGTGTTCTGTTGGGAATACACCAAACTGTTTAAGTCAAGCAGGCATTTGTAAGCCCAACTTTCACAAATTTTAATTTTCAAACATCCTGCTCAACATCTAAGACCTCATCAAAGAAAGGCCTGTCAGAGACTCCTTCTAAGTTCCAAGTCTGTGCTTATGACTTCTTTCAGTTGCCTACCCTAACCATCCTTCCCTGTCTTGACGAGCTCAATTTCCCTGATGCACATGACTCCACTCTACCCAGATTCCTATTCAAACACCTCTCTCCTCTAAACGTCTACATCAGAGAAAAAGTAACTTACACACACTACCTGACATGGTCGCTGCTTTATCTTTCCCCCCAACAGGAAGGAATTGATTCTTCTTGTATTTGGTTATCTACACCTGTTTGTATCTACAAAACACTTAACGTAATTGTATTACTTTGTTTTCTTTTCCTGCTTGGCAGTATCAGTTTCATATATTACATGTCCAACAAATATTTTCTCTACTAATCAATCCATTTCAACAGCCTAAGCACATCAACAATTACTATAACAAAAATATTTACTATACTAGATGGAGTTATTCTCCAGGAGCATAAAAGCTTAACATAGGGGGAACTGTCTTTACAATGGTCAAAGCAAAACAAAAAGGGGCTACAGCTCCCAAACTGGGTTTTCTATGGAAAAAAAAAAGGGAAAAAAAAAAAAAAAAGACAAAAGGAGTGTTTTCTTCCAGATTCACCAGCTGAATGCTCTCCAAAGAGAAAGCTTGAAAACAGCTACTAAAATGGTGTTGGGTGTTTACCAATAGTTATACTCACATATATTTCCATTTTTCTGTATAAGCCATAATTTAACAGCAAGTTATGAGTCATGCGGATCCTATGAGGTTTCATGGGATGTCCCTGTCCATAATAGTAGTTTCCAATATCACCTAAAATAGAAAAGACGCAAACTGAACAACAGAGACAATAGTTTCCTCATGAAAAATCTGAAATTTATGTATGTCAAACATTAGAAAGCATTTACCACCGAGGCAAAATTTCATTGAATACTTTAAATAATGATTTGTTTTATTTCCTAATTTCTTTTATAGTAAAGAAAACCAAGACATCACACAAACCTTTAAAAGGCGATAACTCCAGTTGTGTTTGTTCATTTTTTAAATTTTTGCTCCTCAAAGTAATATCTGCTTTTAATATTTTCTGGCAAATTAAGATGACTTGGGGAAATTCTAGTATTTTACTAGTATTACTTTTTTTTTTCAGAATTATTGTTTCATCCCAGAAATCCTTCAGAGTCAGTATTCCGTAAGTTAAAATGTTCTATGTTCACAGAGTGGTCCATCAAGGAACTTATGGTTACTAAAAGTTAGGTTCTAAATAAAACCTTGCTCAGACATATTCATGACATTTCCCAAATAATGTCTTATTCTTCATGATTAAACTTAAAATTTGTAGCAAATCAAGGGCCAAGGCCGAATCAGACAAAGCCAGACTGGAGTCACGAGCCACCAGCTTCCCCCAGTTCTATGTGTGTGGCAGGGCCCAAACACCTGTGCCATCTTCCACTGCTTTTCCTAAGTGCAGCAGCCAATACATGAACTGACACTTATTTGGAATGCTGGTACCACAGTGGCTGGCTTCACCTGCTATACCAGGACACTGGCCTCAAAAGCTGTAACTTATTTATTTGAAAGGGAGAGTGACAGACGGAGGGACAAATATTCTATCCACCGTTCACTTCCCAAATTCCTGGAACAGACAGGATTGGGCCAGGCCAACGCCAAACTCTGTGCCTCTCACCTGTGAGGCAGCAGCCCAATGCCAAGCCATCACCTGCTGCTTTCCAGAGCACGTGACAGAAAGCTGGCTCGGAAGCAGAGGCAGGAGGCTTGATACCGCACACAGGTGTACCCAAGCCACAGCCAGCAGCTGAGCCAGAAGCCCCATTTCCAGCTTGGCTTTTTAAATAGTATCTTATATACCATTATCTCAAGACATTTACTTTAAAGTAACACCAAAATCAATTTTAATCAACAGATGTTAATAAAACACACTAATTTCTAGCCTCTTGTTGTTACAGGTAGAAATTTAGCTTACTATGCCACACTGCTGGAACCAAGGACTTTAGCTGCTAGGCTATGGCACTATGGCATTTACCTTTTAATCAAGACAAAATCTCTTTTCTCAGTTTTAACAATCTAATAAGATCACTTATCTCATTTAAATAATTAATGAATTTAAAGTGTTATCCTGATTTTCATCAAAATACTTAAAAATGGTTTACCATCGAAGAAACAGCGAGAAAAATCATCTCAAGGTGGTTCCTGAACACAACTATTTTTAAAAATTGAAAAACACAGAGCAACACCTGTGGAAGGGTTGGAGCAGTGACACAGCACATTAAGCATCCTAGAGCAGAGGATAATGTGAGTCCAGCCTACTCAACTCCAATCACCTGCCAATGCACTGTGGAAGGCCCAATGCCCCAAATGTTTGGGTCCTCGCCATCCAGGCAGGCAGGAAGGATGGAGTTCCTGCATCCTGGCTTCCATCTGACCCTGACCTAGCTGTTGGGCTCATTTACAGTAGTGAATGTGTAAATGATCAAAGTCTGTCACTTTACCTTCAAACAAATATAAATTAACAAATCATTAATTATTTACAAATAATTTTTTTTTAGAAACAGTTCACTCTTCTAAATCTAGAAGTAGACGTGTTTCAAACTGCAAGACTTTAGATTTTATAGAAGGAATACAGTTTGTGTATATATCAACTATTCTGGAGTCTGAGCAGCAGCTTACCGTCAATAGTACACCTGAGTGAACATCCACAGGAAGTTAAAGATCATAAATACCCAAACACAAACTTTTGCAAATTTCAGATCATTTTTGATTTTTGGGCTGTGAAATGTACTTTCATCCCTAAATATAAGCAGACTGTAAAAAAAGACCACAGAGGGAGAGAGGGAGGTTAAGGAAAATCTATGCCATCCTTTTTGTCCCTCAGATTACTTAACAGGTCTTAATATGCGCCACTCTGCTTCTTTTGAAATACTTTCAAACTTTCATAGTAACTTTCTTCTGCCCCCAACGCCATCTCAAACTTCTCAAATTCATTAATTTAAATTGGTCAATCAGGGCCAGCTGTGTGCCTGCCACTCAGCCACTGTTCTAGATTCTTGGACACCCAGCAGTGAAGAGTTCTGCTTTATATATGCGTTTTCGGCATCCTCCTGTTGAAATTTTTTAGCAATGAATTTCTCACATTTCTGCTCATCCTCTATTCCTTGGGATCCAAACTCAGAGGAAGTTCTCGGCAATTTCAGAAGAACTGAACACAAGCCTGAGCCTGAGATTCGCCTTTCCAACCCCAGGGTTGCCACCCACCTAGCTGCTCAGCCCAGACATCCAGAGCCATCATTTATTCTTACTGACACCCCCGGCTCCAACTCCATTTCTAATCCAACAACAAACTCTTGGTTATATTTCTCAAAACCAACCTTCAGTGTGTCCATTTGTACTGAAAATGCAACCAATACATTTTCTGTTAGGATTTATTTTTATTGGAAAGGAGCATTTTATAGAAAGGAGGAGGGACAGAGAATGATCTTCCATCCACTAGTTCATTCCCCAAAGGGCTGCAAGTCAAAGATGAGCCAATTCCATGCCAGGAGCTTCCTCCAGGTCTCCCATGTGTGCAGAGTCCCAAGGCTTTGGGCCACCTTCCACTGCTTTCCCAGGCCATAAGCTGAACGGGAAGTAGAGCATCTGGGACAAGAAGCAGTGCCTATATAAGATGTCAGCGCTTTCAGGTTGAGCATTAGTTCAGCCATGGTACCAACCCAGCAACCACTACATTTGTGTATACCAGTTTGCATTCAACACTAATTCTACCATACCTCCAATTATGAAACCTTTAATGGCTTTCCAATTTCTAAATAAAAGTCAAAAACCTCTTTCCTTTTCTTAAAGTTATGGGAAGTCTAGTTCCTTAGTACCTAACCTAGAAACCCACAGTCTTTGCTTGCTTTTTTTGTTAAGTAGAACAAGTTCAACTTATCTGGCCCTTGCAGTTTGCCATGTCTCTAGAAGAGCTCTTTCAAGGCTGGCTTATTCTTTTCTGATTACCCTACCAAAATATCCCTTCTCTTATTCTCTAATATAGACTATTATTTCCTTATTATGACTTGAAAATAATAGATTAAAAAAAAATTCTCAAATGCAGTTACAAAGAGAAAGGAAGAGAAAGAGACAGAGACACACACAAACAGAAACATAATGTTTCTGCTGGTTCACTACCCAGACTGCTGAAGTTCATCCAGGTCTCCTACACGGCTCGCAGGGACCCCAGCCCTTACAGGCTTTTCCCAGGAGCATCAGCGGGGAGTGGGATCACAGGTGGAGCAACCACTCTCACTGGCACCCATGAGATGTTGGTGTAACAGTCAATGCCAAAAGAAGACTCCCTTAAATAATCTTCAATGTGGCACTAAATAGGGACGTAAAACCTATCTGGTTTTCCTAAAAGCAAAATTGACTTGGTAAGTTACGGCATCAAGGTAGAGCATCAATGTCAGTACATACTACATCCTCAGATTTTAACTTTTGACTCTGTTCTCATCCATGATTCAACGTCATAAACATTGACTAAAATATCACATCCCCTTTCCAATTCCACCTGGATTCTTTTAAGAATTTTCAACCTTTAATGTGTCCATTACATTAAAGAAATGATTTTTATTAGTGGGAATTACATTAAAAAGAAAAGCCTTTAGGTTCCAGATGTGACTCTCCCCCAGACATGAAATCAAAGTCAGGGTGCAAAAGGAAAGTGGTACCTAACAGGGGTATTAATCTGGTTTCTCCTATAGCAGACAAATGTCAAATATTCTATAACTCAGATGGTTAAGAACAACACAGTGCACCTGTTGTGAAGGCGCCACTGGGCAATCCTCCCCTTGCATTTGTTCTATGTGGCCAGTGTGATGGCTCAACTGGCTAATTCTTAGACTGTTAAGAGCCAGAATTCCATACTGGCACTGGTTGGTTCATGTCCTGGCTGCTCCACTTCCCATCTAGTTCCCTGCTTGTAGCCTGGGAAAGCAGCAGAGGATGGCCCAAAGCCTTGGGACCCTGCGCCATGTGAGCGACCTGGAAGAGGCCCCTGGCTTCAGATTGACTCAGCTCTGGCCATCATGGTCTCTTGGGGAGTGAACCAGTAGACGGAAGATCTTCCCCTTTGCCTCTACTTCTCTCTGTAAATTTGCTTTTCCAATAAAAATAAATAAATCTTAAAAAGAACACAAAAAAATTATACAGCAGTGTTCTATCTATAAAAATATGAATTAGCTAGTTATTCAGATTAAGTTTATCGCTTCAAATGGCAGAACTAAATTAAACCCTTTGTCCTCACAAAGCTTATATTCCAATAGGGACAGAGACAAAAGGAGGGCAGTACAAATGATAAGAAAAAATCCGGGCAGCAATGATGATTACAGATTTCACCTCATTGTTATAGCTAGCTGTATCATTTTACAGAAACAATGAAATACACCTTTTGATATTCCTTCTTTCTTTTAAAAACAAGTTACAACCAGTTAACAAGCCGGCTAACTACTTAGGCCCTGCTACTGACTCCACTCACTCCCAACCTAATCTACGTTGCATAACTTAAAATCTAAACTCTTTGATGCCAAAGCTCCTCTATTTGCATTCTGTGTTGCTATTTTACAAATTGACAAAATAGGGCTTTCTGATCATGAGAACTGAATTAAGAACTACTGGAAACATAATGTAAGGGTCCCTTCTCAAATGAGTCAAATCAGAGTCACAGGCTGTTAGTTAAACCTCTGCCCTTGCTAGCCATTAGGTGAAGTACTGACAACCAGAAGACTCCGATCCAAGCTCTCCTCAGTGGCACCCTGCTCCTGCCCTCTCTGCAAAGGCTCTTCATATAAGTGGGCACAGGAACAAACAGTTGCTGAGAAAGCTGCTACACAAGGGTACCTCCTGCTTCTACACTTCAAGCCTGCTGACAAAAAGTTACAGAGCACGTTATTCCTTGTAGCCCACACTGCCCACTGTCAGTGACACGTGTGGGAGCCTGAGTACGAATCTGCAACTTGTTCATTCTTTCCCTTTGCCCTGAGCTTCTTTCTGCCCGCCCCCCACTCACACACACAATATCTAGACTTTGGAAACAACGTATTGTTAAAAATTCACTTATGGTACTATGGGTAAATTTGCCACCTGAGTCCATGGCTTCCCACACTGGCCTGCGATTGTGGCCCAGATGCTCCACTTCCAAGCCTGTTTCCTTCTGCTGGTCTGGGAAAAGCAACAGAGAACGGGCCAAGAGTGTGGACCCTTGCTGCCCATAGGGAGATCCAGACGCATCCTTCCCATCAGGCCACTGTCTCCACCTGCTGAGTGAACCAGTGCATGGAAGCTCGCTCTCTTTCAAATAAAACTTAAGAAACACACAAGGTTTTAGCATTTCTAAGTTTTCTAGGGAAAATGGGGTGAAGGTTTCACCAACAACCCAAATTAAAAAATTCATGTGAAATGTATTCCCATCTCTACAGCGCCAAGATGGTACAATTTCAAATCAACTTACACATATGCAGTACCTTCAAAGAATGCGTTTAGAGATCTGTTTCTATTTTGTCCCAGAGATTACGGATCAACTTAAGTTTTGTCCTGCATTATTACTTAAATTTCCCACGAAGGACTCAGGTGGTAATTTCCTGTAAACCTGGCATTTTAAAAAAATGGATCGGGCCCAGCGCGGTGGCACAAGTGGTTAAGGTCCTCGCCTTTCACGCCCGGGATCCCATATGGGCACCAGTTCTATCCCGGCAGCCCCACTTCCCTTCCAGCTCCCTGCCTGTGGCCCAGGAAAGCAGTCGAGGACGGCCCAAAGCTTAGGGACCCTGCACCTGCGTGGGAGACCCGGAAGAGGCTCCTGGCTGCGGATGGGCACAGCAATTGGCCGTTCGGCTCACTTGGGGAGTGAATCATTGCACGGAAGATCTTCCTCTCTGTCTCTCCTCTCTGTATATCCGCCTTTCCAATAAAAAAATAATAAAAATAATGAAAAAAATGGATCACTGCTAAGAGGAATAGCACAATTTTTCATGAGCTAAAGTCAGGTTTATTGTGACCACTTCTACCTTTCTAATATGGTGATTTATAAAATACCGTATGTAACAAATGACTCCTCACATTTGTATTGCTTCCAATAAATCAGATAAACCTGTCAGATCCCTGAGCCTGGCTTTGTTTCATTTCAGTTCTCCTATCCAGAGGCCACATCACCCAGCTCAGGTCTTTGGGAACCGCTGTGACTGCTTTACTTCATGAGGGCCTGGGATGCAGACATCAGGTTTTTAACGTTACCGCCTATTCCACATCCCAGAACCCTTAAGATGAAATTATCTTCTATAATTCACCATGTCGCCAGCTCCAGCCTGTCTGGTTACTTAGTACTGCTCCACTGCTCCCGTAAGTCTATCTGCACCAGTGTTCCCATCACCTAAGAACTCCCCAAGGCCGCTGCCCCGTGCTCTCCACCTCCAAAGCAGGGTCTACTTCCGGATCGAACAAAGAGCAACAACAAAGAAGTGGGTGGTAACCACCTCTCACAGAGGCAAGCCAGGACCCACGAGTCCCATCCCAGGCAGCAACAGCTCCACATTTCCCTTCGTCTCTCAATGGCGCTCCAACTACCCACTGCCAACTCGAGAACCCTAACAGGAACGGAGGCAGGAAGCCCATGAGTTTAAATTCCAAGAAAGTGGCGCTCAAACAACCGGGTGGACAAAAGGGGAGGGATGGAGGATGCAGCCCACGCGAAACACGAGTGTTGAGGCCTCTGCACGCCGGGCGAGGGCTCCCACTCCCAGGATCTCCGCGCCGGGCCCCGAGCCGTGCCGAGGGGGTCCGGGCAGAGACGAGGCGCGGGGACAGGAGAACGCTCGGCCCGGACGGGAGCCGGGCACGCCGGGCACGCGAGGGGGGCTGCAGGGGCGGAGCTCTGCGGCCGCCGGGCTTTGTGTGCAGTCAGGGCCCCGGGACTGAGGCTCGCGTGCGGGGGATGCCGGCTCGGGGCTCCCCAGGAACCGGCGCGCCCACGAGAGGCCGGCGGGTGGGGTGCCAGACAGAGCGCAGCGTGCGGAGTAGGCCGGCGCGGTCACCCCGGACGGCCACCCACCCCCGAGGCCGCGGGCCCGCACCACCCGACCGAGGAGCAGAAGGCAAGCGGGTCGTGCCCCGCGACTCCCGCCCGGAGCCGAGGGGCTGGCCGCGGGGACCTCGGGTCGGCCATGGGCTGAGACGCGGCCAGGCGTCGGTCCCTCCTCCTCCTCCTCCTCCGCACCCCTCCGGCCCGGCGCCCCCGGACACCCGGCGCGACCCCCAGCCCGGCGGCCCAGCCCCTGCCCGGCCACCCAGCCACTCACCATCGTAGTAATAGCACACTTTCTTCTTGCCGCCTCCTTGACTGTACGCCATGGGTGCCCCGGCTATGGCTGCTGCTCGGCTCCGGCCGCCGCGGCTCGAGCGGGGACGGGGTGGAGGGTGCCGGGCCGCGGGGAAGCGCAGGTCGCAGGGGTCCCCGGAGGGCTCGGTACCGCCCGGCCGACGGGGCCGAGAGCGCGGAGCGGGGGTGGCGGCGGCGGCGCCAACTCGCGACACCGGGCAGGGGAGGAGGACGCCGAGGGAGGTGGGACCCGGTCACAGTGTCCTCGGCGGCGGCGGAGGGGGGAGCGCGAACGGAGCAGGAGGCCGCTTCTGGCGAGGGTGACAGGCCTCTCCAGGAAGAAGAGTCTGCGTGAGAGGCGGAGCCCTTTGAAGCCTTACCTAGGGGAAAAAAGGGCGAGCCTGCGCTCGGCAATCCCCCAGAGAGGGAGGACCCTGGCGTGGATTCCACCCTCCGATCCGCGCACAGTTGGTTGCGCCCACCCGGAGCCTGCGCAGTCGGCCCCGCTCCGCCGTAGTCCTGGCTGCCCGGACCCACGCCGCTCCCCTCCCCCACTGGGGCGACGCTCTGGCCGGCCGGCCACGTGCCGGGAGACCCGCACGACCCCCTTCCCGGGCCTGCAGCAGGGGCGCCAGCCCGCGTGCCGAGGCCGCGTCGCCGGGTTTCCTCACGTGTTCACTTATTTTTTTTTCTTTTGGCTCTTAATTGCTGTTGGGTACAGATCTATTATAGGCCTTAAAGGAAGAGTAAACTGGCCTGGGTTGAATAACCATTTATGAAATTCATTTATGTATAAGGCCGGGGCCTAAGCATCGGCATGTATAGTCATATGCCATTGATACGTATGCGCAACAATGTCTAACTCAGGTAAGACTTTGAGCACCATGCTGCTTCTCCTGTCAGCGGGTTAAGGAAGTTGGCCCTTCACACTGCTGGGTACTTGGGGCGTTTGGACTCGGTCTTTCTCCAAACTGCATACACCTTAGCTACTCAACCCCAGTCTTCTGTTGCTGCCTAGTCCGTGGATGCAACGCAAACTCCTAAACTCTTGCAGTTGTAAATGTCTAGCAAGTCAACATTATGTAAGCATGTACCCTAAGACAGCGACCTGGCTGGTAACAGGTGAAGTGGAAGCGCCTACATTGTAGCACTTCTTTCCTAAGCGTTTACATATGCTTCCCACACTGCCCGCGTGCATGCTCTGTCCTACACCCCTAGTCGAGAAAATCGGGCGACCGTTGTGAAACAGACTATTTGAAGCCACATCCAAAAATACGGTTCTTACTCTTCATGACTTTCCAAATTCCCAACTGTGTTCATGTGTAAAGCAAGATTTTTCCTAGACCACACCCTGATGAGATTTGGAAAGGGTGTGTCCAGGGTGTGCTCTGCCTCGCCCTCCCCACCCTCCAACCTGTTGTTTTTTTTTTTTTAAATAATTATTTTTATAAACAAGGCAGATTAGATTGACAGAGAAAAGGAGGGACAGATTGTTTACTCCCCAAATGGCCACATGGATCTGAGCTGAGCTAATGCAAAGCCAGGATCCAGGAGTCTCTTCCAGGTCTCCATGTAGTGCAGGGTCCCAAGGCCTTCAACTTACCTTTACTGTTTCCCAGACCACAATCAAGGAGCTGAATAGGAAGTAGAGCAGTCGGGATATGAACTGGCATCCCTATAGGTTTCTGGTGGCACTTGCAAAGTGAGGATTCAGTCATCTAGCCAACATGCTGAGCCCTATATGCATTTTTTAAATTATTTTATTATGATGATGATTTTATGATGCAGTTCCACCAGCCCTGGGATTTCCCTTACCCTCTCCTCAAGTCCTCTCTCCCACACACTGAGTCCCCTATATTATTTCTATAGTACAGTTTTTCATAGGCAGTCATATGTCCATCGTTGCAGGCATGGACAATGGCAAAAACTCCAGCATCTTAATATCAACAATTTCATTGGGAGTCCGTCTTTGATCTGGAAGTAGAGTTGCATACTACATTGTATCCTCACATCTGGATATGATAGTTTCCATTACACAGTCACTATACATCCCTTTAAATGAAAAGCCACAAAAAGCAATCAACAACAGGAAGAAAAAAAAAAGAAATTAAAAACGCCATGAAGTTAAATAACAAGTTACTGAATGACTAATGTGTCACTGAAGAATTGAAAAAGATGATCAAGAACCTGCTTGAAGAAAATGATGCCATTGTATGATCTATGAATCAGTGAAGAATTTAATCAGGAAGACTTTTAAAGAGATGAAACTGAAAAAAAAGTCAAAATTCATGAGATACTTTCTGCTGATCTTTGTTGGTGATGTGTGTCTCCTGTAGGCAACAAATAGATGGGCTTTGTTTTTTTAATCCAGTCTACTAATCTACAATGTCTGATTGGTGAGTTTAAGCCATTTACACTCCTGGTTGATACGTATGGGTGGTAATTTGGTCATGTCATTTTAAGAATGGGTTGTTCATTGATTTAGTCTTCTGTTGTTATTTTACTGGGATGTTCTTCACATTTGCTGTCAGTTTTGGTGGGCGCTATTCCTCTTTTCTGTCAAGAGAACATCTGTAAGTATCCTTTGAAGGGCAGCTTTGGGAGAGATATATTCTTTTAACTTTTCTTTACTGTTGGAGAATTTTATTTCACATTCAAAGACAAGGAAATTTTGCTTGATACATTATCCAGGGCCGACAGTTTTTTCTTTTAGAATCTGGAAATGTCACTCTGTTCTCTTCTGACCTGTGGAATTATCTGTGAGAGGTCAGCTGTGAAATTAGTTGGCATTACTTTATATGTCCATTGACTTCTTTCATGTGCACCTTTAAGGATCTTTTCCTTATGTTCAATTGAAGAGAGCTTGATTATCATGTATCATGGTGTAGATGGCTTTTGGTCAACCCTGTTGGGAGTTCTGTGCCCCGCCTGGATGCTGTTTCCCAATTCTTTCTCCAGATTAAAGATGTTTTATCATTTCATTAAATACATTTTTAAAAGCAGCTTCTCTTTCTGCACCTTATGAGAATCCCATAGCTCTTACATTACTCCTTTTAATAGTGTCCTTTACTTCTTGAATATTTTTTTTAGATTGACCCAGCTCTGCCTCTGGATTTTTGCTTCCCCCTGGTGACAGGAAATATCCTCTGATTCTGAAATTCTTTCTTCTGCTTGCTTCATTCTATTTTGCAGACTCTCGACTGTACTTTTAATTTGCTCCACTCTATTTTTCATTTCTGATACATCAGCATTTTTTGGACTGATGTCCTCTGTGACATATTCCTTAAATTCCTTCAACACCTGCTTTATGTGCTGCTCATTGTTGCTAAGAAGCTTTATCACACGCATTTTGATTTCTGTATCCCACATTTTCTTGATGTCCTCCTCAGTGAACTCTGAGGTTGGCAAAGCCTTTTGCTCCTTTGCAGGGAGTTTTTCAGTAATACTCATCGTGCCTCTGTCTCTTCTTTTGCTCTTGGTCATTGTACTTCTGGTTAGCAGATTGTTCTCCTTGAGGCATGTTGCTAAGCTCTGTCACCCACAGGTCTACAGTTCGATTTTACTTATTGTGGTTGGTACCTGGCTCTTAGTTTGCAGTCACTTGTGTCACTCCCTCCAGTGAGTTCCAGGTCTGGGTTCTTATGTTAGAATTCCACCATGGAGTCTGTAGTCCCAGCTCCTGACTCACTACTCCCCACCTCCTGTGATTCCATGCTGAGGCTGCACCATTGTCTGTACATCCTTTCTCCCACTTCCAGTTAGAGCAGGTTCCAGGATTCAGGAGACACCAGGTGTCCTATATAGCTAGGTTGTTGGTGGTGCTGATCTTCTCAGAACCTGTTGGCTGTTAGGTCTGAGGGCTACATTGACCTCTTTTGACCTATACAAGGCCATAGTTGGTATTATTTTTCCTGTGTGACCAGTGCAATGTACTGAGCTCCATGAGTTTTGCTCCCAGCTCAGTTCATCTGCAGCTCACTATTGTCCCTGCAACCTTCAAACTTTTGCCACACTGTTCAAAATGGTGCCTAAAGTGCCACTACTAGAGTTCTTGATCTACTGGCTGTCAGGTCTGAGGGCTACCCTCATCTATCTTGGGTGGAACCTGTGGGGTGCCATGTTGTTGCAGTTCACTGAGTCAGAAATGAATTCACTCACATCTCAGTGCATGAGTAGTACTGTCCCATAGCCAATGTCTCTCTATACAAATTGGCATCTGGTTCAGCTGTAGGGGGCTGTCTGAGCTGTGAAATCAGCTCTGTTCCTGCACCACCAGTCTAGGTCCTGCCCCTTTATCTTTGCTCCTAGCCAAATCAAACAGAGTAGCAGAGCAGGCAGTTCTTTGCCTATTTTCACTTCCTGAGCTCCCAGTGAACATCTCTTGCTGGTGCAGTTCTCGCTGCCGGTGCAGTTCAGACAGTTACTTGCTGAATGCTACTGGGGTATCAGTCACTGCAATACTATGCTGTTGTGTATGCTGCTTTCCCGTGTCTGTCAGTCTCCAGGTACCCCTCTGCTCTTGTTCTGTCCTCTCATATTTCCTGGAATATGCCCTCTCTGCTTCACACTGACAAATGTTTCTCCATCTGTTTAAACATGTCCTTACCCTATTCCACCATCTTGATTCTCAACCCCAAATGTATTTTTAATAGATCCCAGGTAACTGGTGCAGTTGGCACGGGTGTGCCTCAGCTGGCTTAGATACAAATTGAGCCCGGAGGCGTGGCCTAGCAGCTAAAAGTCCTCACCTTGAACACGACAGGACTCCATATGTGTGCCGGTTCTAATCCCGGCAGCTTCACTTCCCATCCTGCTTCCTGCTTGTGGCCTGGGAGAGCAGTTGAGGATGGCCCAATGCCTTGGGCCCCTGCACCCGTGTAGGAGACCCAGAAGAGGTTGCTGGTTCCCGGCTTTGGATCAGCACAGCACTGGCTGTTGCGGTCACTTGGGGAGTGAATCATTGGATGGAAAGATTTATTTATTTTTGTTACAAAGGCAGATATACAGAAAGGAGGAGAGACAGAGAGGAAGATCTTCCGTCTGATGATTCACTCCCCAAGTGAGCGCAACAGCCGATGCTATGCCGATCCGAAGCCAGGTGCCAGGAACTTCTTCCACGTCTCCCACATGGGAGCAGGGTCCCAAGGCTTTGGGCCGTCC